GCTCAGAGAAGTGGACTTCATCGCCACAAAAAGATCCACACAGGAGAAAAACCATATAAATGCATGGAATGTGGAAAGACCTTTGCTCAAAGCAGTGGACTTAGTTGCCACAAAAAGATGCACACAGGAGAAAAACCATACAAATGCATAGAGTGTGGGAAGACCTTTGCTCAGAGCAGTGGACTTAGTTCCCACAAAAAGATCCACACAGGGGAGAAGCCATATAAATGCATGGACTGTGGGAAGACCTTTGCTCAAAGCCGTAATCTTGCTTCCCATGAAAAGATCCACTCGAGAGAAACCATTGAAATGCACAGCGTGTGGGAAAAAGTTTACTCAGGGCAATGGACTTACTATCCACAAAAAGCTCCACAGAGTGGAACAACCATATAAATTCATGGACTGTGGGAAGACCTTTGCTCAGAGCAGTGCTCTTACTTCTCATAACAAAATCCGCAGAGGGAGAAGCCATATAAATAATACATGGAATGTTGAAAGAATGGTAATCTTACTTCTCATAAAAGGATCCATGCTTGGAGAAGCTATATAGCAATAGCAATTCCACTTAGAATTATATACCACTCCACAATGCTTTACAGCACTCTTTGAGCAGTTTACATAGTCAGCATACTGTCCCCAACAGCCTGGCTCCTCTTTTTAGTGAGCTCAGTTGTATGAAAGGCTGAATTAACCATGAGTCAGTCAGGATTGAACTCCTGGCAGTGGGAGTGGACATTCTAAAGGGCTGCAGTGGCTGAATGGCTCAGATGATGAACTTGTCAGTCAGAAAGGTTGGCAGTTCAGCGGTTTGAATTTGTACCACTGCGTAACAGAGTGAGCTCCCATTACTTGTCCCAGCTTCTGCAACCTTGAAAGCATGTAAAAATTTGGAAAATAGGGATGACTTCGGTGGGAAGGTAACAGCATTCCGTGTGCCTTCGCCATTGAGTCATGGCAGCCACCTGACCACGGAGACCTCTTCAGATAGCACTGGCTCTTCAGCTTCGTAACAGAGATGGGCACCGCCCCCTAGAGCCAGAAACGATTAGCATGTATGTGCGAGGGGAACCTTTACCTTTACTGCATTCTAACCACTGCCCCACCATTTCTCTATAGATTTTGATGTGTAGGCCTAATGTGCCATTCTGATCCTAATGAGACACAGTTGAATCCAACAAAACAAAATTTAATGTGGATAAAAGTAAGGTTTTATGCCTGGGAAGGAAAAACATTACATGAAACCTGGCTCAAAAATAGTAACTGTGAAACGGCCCTTGGAGTCTGAATGGATGATCACTTAAACATGAGTCACGTGTGCTCAGCAGCAGTCAAAAAAGCTAAGACAATTCTTGGTTGTATAAACAGAGGCATCGAATGAAAACCACATGAAGTATTAGTACCGCTTCATAAAGCCTTAGTAAAACCACACCTGCAATACTGCATCCATTTTGGGTCATCACATTACAAAAAAAATGTTTAGACTTTGGAATAAGTGGAAAGAAGAACAGCTAAGATGATTAAAGTCCTGAAGACTAAAACAAGAACAATTGCAAGATTTGAATTTGGCTAGTCTTGAGAAAAGAAGGATCGGGAGTGACATGATAGCAGTATTCCTGTATTTGAGAGGCTGCCATAAAGAGGACAGGGTTGATTTTGGTTCCAAAGCCCCAGAGGACAAGACAAGAAACAATGGATGAATATTATGAAGGAGAGAAGTAACCTGGAATGTCCTTACAGTGAGGACAATTAACAGCTTGCTTTCAGACATCGTGCGTGCTTCATCACTGGACATCTTTCAAGAAGAGACTGGACAGTCACTTGTCTGAAATGACAAAGGATCTCCCGATTGAGCAGTGGGCTGGACTAGAAGAGCTCCAGCTTCCCTTCCAGCTGTATTCTGACTTTGATTTTGTATCCTCAATCCTTTCTTGTGTGTGTGTGTTTGTTTCTTTGTTTCTTTGCTAAATATGAGGTTTTAAAGAAAACATGAGCATCAATGGAGATTAAGGTTATCATTTGGCCTGAAAGTGATGTGTGGCCACCAATATTTAAGTAGTGGAGATTCCCTAATCATTTCAAGAAACTCCCTCTGATGAGTAATCCACTAGAGCAGAGTTGCAGTCAGAAATGCCGAATCCCTTACTATTGTTTCAGCTTTTCTTCCTTTGCTTACTATTGTCAAAATCTACCTTTCCACCCTGCTTCACGTTATGTAATGCAAGTAATAACTGAGAAAGAAATCCATAAGGAGAATGGGGTTATAGTGATACTGAATTAAAGAATAGAACTCAGGCGTGCTTTCTCCTAATTTTGTGGTCTTTCCTTGCCTTCCCTCGTGTTGCCCATCTCTATACAATCTTTTCAATATCTTTTTTTAAGTGAGGTCTCCAGAAATGGACCCAATATTCCAAGTGGTGTGTCACTAAAGCCCTATGTAGCGGAGTAGGACCTCCTTTTTCTTGATGGTGATACATCTGGTGATGCATCCCAGAATTTTGTTCGCCTTCACAGCTGGCCTGTCCACCCTATTTGTTTACTTTGCAGTTATATTTTTTTCAGTGCCATGGTAACTTTTTCACACCGTATATTAAAAAAGTGCAGCTTGAGGTCATTTACTCAAATACAGAATAATTGTAGCATTGTGGAAATATGCATAGTTTTGTGTCTATTCCAAGTGTTTTCCATACATGGAGCGTTACAGCAAGTAGTTTTATTAAGAGAAAGCAGTGGTAGGGAAATGTAGATGTATGTTAAGTTCCCATAGCTAGGCAGCCTACTGGCCAAACCACTTAGCCCTTGGTTTACAATAATTTATTATGCAAACATTCAAAGTTACAATGGCAACAAATGTTTCTAACTCCTTCCTTCCTTTTTCCCTCTCTACCTCCCTCCCTCCCAAATTAGGCATACTCCAGAGCAAAGGTCTTCAAACCTGGCAAGTTTAAGACTTGAGGACTTCAACTCCCAGAATTCCTGAGCTAACATGACTGGAGGAAGAATTCTGGGAGTTGAAGTCCACAAGTCTTAAAGCTGTCAAGTTTGAAGACCCCTGCTCCAGAGAATCAGAATGAAAACTACTCCAGTGTGCTAACATTGCAAATGATCGATCAAGAAGATCAACATTGCAAATGATCGATCAAAAACCAATGGGGACCAAAATAATATGAAATTAAGAAACATTTCAAAAAACTATTTCAGTCCTGAAAGAGGAGGATTTGGCCTATCCGACTGGGAATTGTGCTATAGAACTGCAATATTAACCTGGGTGAAAGATTGGATCAATCATAGAAATAAAAGGATACTAACACTAGAAGGCTACAACTTGCAGTCAGGATGGCATTCCTTCCTCTGGCAGGATAATTTAAAGCAGGGGTCTCCAACCTTCTTGGAGCAAAGCTGGCTGAGGAACTCTGGGAGTTGAAGTCTGCAAGTCTTAAAGTGGGCAAGGTTGGAGACCCCTGATTTAAAGGGTTGCAACTATGTACAAAGGCACAAAGTTAGACTCTTAAATACATGGTATAAGGTAAAAAGATAAATGTATATAGAAACATCTATTTGGTTATCAACTTTGGAAACACTGATGCACCCACATCTTTTGAGACAAGGAAAAAGAATCACTTATGAAGATATATAAATGATAATGGGGAGCTACAATCCAGACAAGATTTGAGAAATCAGGGAATTGATGTGGAATGGTGGGCCTATTTGCAACTCCAATCAAAATGCTTAAAAGATAAGAAAGAGTGGGGAATTAGGAAAACTAAGGCAACATTAGGTGAAATTTTATTAAAATCTGAGAAGATGATAAAAATCAAGTTTTATTGCAATTTAAATTGGAAGAAGAAAAAGTAACAGAAACAATGGTGGTATGGATGAAAAATTTTGGTTATAGCATTAATTTAGACAATTGTCAAAAACTTTGCAAAATAAATTAAAAAATGACTAGGTATACCATTCAAGGAAAATTTGTAAAAATTATTTTATAGATGGCACATACTTTCATCAAGATTGGCAACAATAAATCCAAATCTTTCTCCCATATGCTGGAAATGTAATAAAGAAAAAGGAACTTATTATCACATGGTGGAGTTGCAAAGAGGCCCACAAATATTGGCAAAATTTACACAACTGGATAGAAGAAATGTGTGCAATGAAAATAGAACCCGAGTTTTTCTGCTAGGGATCAATACAAGGAAATATGATAAAGAAAATATATATCTAATAATCCATGTAATAACTGCAACAAGATTGGCGTATGCACAGAATTGGAAAAGGAAAGATATGAATTTGAAATATTGAGGAAAATCATGAGATGCACAGAAATTGATAAACTAACAAAGGAGCTAAAAAATAAGGATTCAGATTATAATAAAACATGGGACAAATTTTATGGTTGACTAGTGTTAGGAATATAAGTCACCTAACAGGTATTTGGGTTAGAAATATATAAACCAGGATAAACATTTTCGTACTATATCTTTAAGAGATTGCAAAAAATGCAATTGGGTGTGGTTTCTCAAACAGCCATAAGATGGAGCCAGAAACCTGGGTTGCTTAGTCTGAGTCTCAGAAGAGAGTGTGTCTGAGTGATTATCTGTGTTTCCTTCTGTTGGAAAGTATTGCCGTTGTTCCATTTCTCCTAATTGACTGATATTCATGGATTTGATGTAAGTCTAACACTGAACTGTTTTTGACACTGGACTTTGTTATTGGATTATCCCTGGATTGAAAACCGACTTATCTTACCTATGAATGACTTTGGACTGCTTGTTTTGAACTTTGTTAAACCTTTCTGGAAGTAAAAACCTACATTTACTGTACAGTGTATATGTGTACTGTGTGTGTATTATTCAAATACTACTCTCAAATATGTCTCCCTGTATTCGTTCATTCTCCTAACGGGGAATTACCTCAACAGCTAGAGATGAAGATTCATACAAATAAGGAATGATTATAGGCATATTTAATGTATATGGAATGAAATTATGTAATATTATTGGATTTAGCATAAGTAATGACAAAGATTGATGTTAGGAAGACTACCAGGTTCAACATTTTTATTGTAATTTATGTTTGTGTTTGTGTGTTTGTTTAATAAAGGAAAATTTTATTTAAAAAAAACAATTTCAGTCCTTCCTGATGAAACATGAAGAAATGTGAATGGGAACTTTCTCTGGGATGTCAAGATGCCAAAAATAATCCAACCTACCAATAAAAGAGAAAATTGGTAGCTCACAGTTGAAATGAGTGGTCCTTGGTGCTCTCTGAGCTTTACTGTGTTGTTACAGACATATCATTACCCAAACTAGGGAACATCATCAGTGCACCAACCAACCTCAGAGGGCACCAAGGAGCCTTCAGTCCAACTTGGGTCCATAGTGTCAAAGTAAGATCTGAGTCAACCAGTATGAATGCAGAAGCA